GCACCTTTTTGCTTTTCCGATGGGTCCCGGGAGCAGCAGGCAAAGTGCCTGGCTCATGCATAATAAACCAGGCGTGGAAACACGCGAAGTAATAGGCTACATTTGTCGAGAAACAAAATCATTAAGCCAGCCCATTTGCAGGGTTGCCTGGAAAACAAAACAAAACAAAACCCACCATCACCACCACCCACCCCATGCCTCGGCTCCATGTCATTCACAACGGTGCTCCCGCTAAAAGCTTCTGTGAAATAGGTCAGCCTGTGCACGGGGGGGGGGGGCACGGTTATGGGGATTTGCCAGCCCTGGGGATTACGCTGACGCCTGGAGGGGCCGGTTGAGATCAGGGCCCCATTGGGCCGGGAGCGGCGCGGATGCAGAGTCCCTGCCCCAAGGAGCTTACACTGTCGGAGAGGCTTCATTGGCCTTTGACGGAGAGCGAGCACCGATTGCTAGGAAAAGGGGGCGAGATCAGCCATGAAGGGGTGTGTCATGCAGGAGAGGATCTGGGGCCAGAACAGCCAAACCCCCCCCCGCCCCCCCCCATTCTTTGGCCCAGGATCCAGCCCAGACCCGTCAGCGGCGGGGGCTGCCGTTCAGCAGCCGTGGGCAGGAGCCGTTTGCGGCCTGATTCTCTGGGCTGTGTGGAGTGCCAAGCGCCCCCCAGGAGAAATCCGAGCCCCTACATTGGACATGGGGGGGGGGCAGGGCTGCTGGAGAGAAGCAGCTAAAACATTGCTAATTAAGCAGGGACAAAGGGCGAGGAACCGACCCAAGCAAAACCCGCTAATGGCCCCAAATGCTGCGGTGCAAGACAAGGGTAAATCCAGAGCCACACGTGAGTGCCTGAACCCTGAGCTGTAGCACTCACACTTGGGCTCCCCACAAACACCCCGACCTCTGCCAAGGCCTCCCCCATCCCCATCTGCAGCCCCCTGCTATTGCTCCCAGCCCCCAGCTCTGCCAAGCCCCCCCACCCCGGCTAAGTCCAGCCTTGGGCACCGTCCACACCACTCCTCAGGTCTGCCAGTGCCCCTCAAGCTTCTAAGGCCAGGTCCCATCTACCTGCCCTTCAGAGGGGCAACCCCCACATCTCACAGGTGTGAATGGAAAGTCTGGTGCCTTTCACACACAGGAGATGCTGGTCACTCCAGTCCAGTTCAAGGCCTTGGGGTCTTCTCTTCAAGGCCCTCAAAGACCTGGGGCCAGGCTACTTAAGGGAAGGCAGAGTGGCCTAGTGGGCAGAGCAGCTTAGTGGGCAGAGCACTGGCCTGAGACTCAGGAAACCTGGCATTGCCACTGGGTGATTGTAAACAGCCCAGATGCCTCCCAGGGGGCCCTCATGGCTTGGGGAGGTGCTGCAGCACCCTGCCTCCCTTTCCCCTTCTCTCGGGAGTCTTCAAAACCCCCATGGAAGGGAGGGATAGTTAATTAAATTTTTTACACCATTTCTATCAGCCCTCACCCTTCCACCTGGTCAGGAGATACTTCCCTCCAGGGGCTGGGCTTAGCTTCAGGCTGGCTGGCCCCTTTTGTGGCCCCTATAGAGGAAGCAAAGTCTTTCAAACGCAAACTAAAGAGTCCCCCCGAGCCTTGTGTTCCTGCTCCCTGGCAGCAAATTCTCATTGACTCATTCACTAGCTCCAGCTCAGCGACTGCCCCACCAGACCATGGGAGTCAGGCTAAAATCATATCATAGAATATCAGGGTTGGAAGGGACCTCAGGAGGTCATCTAGTCCAATCCCCTGCTCAAAGCAGGGCCAATCCCCAATTTCTGTCCCAGATCCCTAAATGGCCCCCTCAAGGATTGAACTCACAACGCTAAGTTTAGCAGGCCAATGCTCAAACCACTGAGCTATCCCTCCCATCCAGCAAGCCCTGAGTGCTAACTGTGTGGGGCAGACATTCCCGCACCCACCTGCAGCTTCCCAGCCTGGCCCTCCACCTCCCACCTGGCAGGAAGGGTGCTGGGCTTGAGCATGTTCCCTTATATCCCTTGGCCTTAGTCACATGATCTTCCTGTCACATGACCGACCTCAGGCTCTCACCTGGGGAGGTAAGCAGCTTGGCACAGGTGGGGCGGTGGCCTTGAGTAAATCGCTTCTGCCCAGCCCCTTGACGGTCTTTAGGCTCCTAACCTTCCCCTCTCCCAGTGCCTCAGTTTCCCCTCCCTGCCCAGCGGGGAGATCGCTACCCAGCTCCTTTGCGAAGCGTGTCGAGTGCTGGCGATGAACAGCACTAGAGACAAACCTGCCCTTCTTCAGGGCCCTGTTCAACAGGCACCAATTATCCCCTGCTCCCAACAGCATTTTACAGGTCCCAAAGGCATAACACCCCCCCATCCATACACACTCCCCTCCTTCCCCCCGGGCATCACTTTCACACAACAAAGGCGATACACGGTCTCTTTTTTTTTGGTAACATTTATATTTTTATATATATAAAAAATTAAATATATATAATATATCGTGTTTAAGACTAAAAATATAGTACATAATATTTAAAAAAAAAAAAGGAAAATGCAAAAAAAAATAATCCAAGGTTGGGCCGGGCAAGGGGTGCAGGGGAATCACAGATACACGTCTCTAGAAATCTAAAGGGGCTGTGCTAAGAAAAATACCCCCATTTCCCCCCACCCACATTCCCATGGGGGATCCAATGAGCCTGGGCGTTTAGGAATGAGCTGGAAGGTGTGTGGGTGTACGGGGAGGTGAGCGGTGCATAACCTTGGAGACAATCCCGATACAGTGAGTGTCACGTAAAGACACAGCTTTGATCCATGGCGACTCGACTCCAGGCTTTGCATGGTTCTGTGTCATGGCAGTGAGGGTTTCTATTGCTAAAGAGGATCCCGGCACCATTGGGGCGAAGGCCAGTCCCGCTGCTTCCCCCCGCCCCCGCTCTAGACCGGGGCGAGGGAGAATGGGGGTCACCGGGGATAGGGTGGGGAAGGAAGCATAGACCACAGCTGCAGGCCATGAGAGCGGTTCCTGGGCTCGGGCTCAGGGCCTTGCGGGATCGGGCCTGTTTTAAAGGTACCTTCGTGGGGGTGGGGGTCAAGGTTAACTCCTTGCACTCAGCCATGGGGGTGGGGGTGGGGGTCTAACAAGGGTGAAAGCTTGTGAATTAGCACCAGAGGAGGGAGTGAGTCGAACCAAGGGGTGGGTTGTTCCTGACTGCAGGGGCAGGGGGGGGATCCATCCTCTCCCTCTCCACAGCCCCCCAGCCCCAGCCCCCTGATGCAAAGGAAAGACCGACCAGGTGCTGGGTTCAGCTGACGAGCTCTGGGGCAAGGCAGGCAGAGAGGTAGGCCCGAGCCATCGCCGAGGTCCCGAGTGGAGAGGAACCAGCCCGCACCCGGCTGGATCCGGCACTGGCTTCTGGCACTGAGCTAACCCGGCTCCTTTCTGGGCTAGCGAAGCGCCGTCGTGTCCGAACTGCTCCCATCATCCAGCTGCCCAAGGGGCATTTTGTTGGGGGGACGCAAAGCGATCGAAGGCCGCTCGGCACCCAGCTCCCAGGGAAGTTCCACGGGGCCCTTCGGGCTGCTCCACACACAGTACTTGCACCGGTTTGACTCAAAAAATGGGCTAAAGTTACTCATGCAAAATCCCCTGCTTGAGCCTGCAAACGCAAGGACGTGGGCTGTCGACAGCAGGAATTGTGCCTGGGAACCTCTGAATCTTGGTGCCTGAGCCTCGGCTAGCCCTGAGCTCATCTGGTAGCCAAGCTGTGGCAGGCGCCCCAATCTCTAGCTCTGCGGCCAAGCCGCCACTAGGGGGAGACAGAATGCCCCACAGGTTGGGTGACACCAGTTTGATGGACACAAACCAGGTCGAACCCAGGAGTCCTGACTCCCAGCCCTGGCTGCTGTAAGCCACGAGACTCCTTTCCTAGGAGTCCAGACTCCCAGTCCCCATATCTAACCACTATACTCCCCTCCCAGAGTTAGGAATAGGACCCAGGAATCCTGACTCCCAGTCCTCTGATCTGACCACTAGACCTCCCGCCCCTTCCAGAGCTGGGAATAGAATCCAGGTGTCCTGGCTCTCACCCCTGGGACGCACTGGGATCCAGCCCCAGTGAGCAGGAATTGGCCACAAGCAGGTTTACACCACAGAGCACAAATGCTCAAAAGAGGAAAGCGCAGGGCAGCCGTCCAGGGGCCATTCAAACCCCGAAGCCAGACTGAGATCAAGGGAGAAAAACAAATCTCAGGATTTAAACCCTAGGACCAGCTACGCCTTGCGGCTTTTTCCCAGCTCCCCCTCACAGGCACAACCCCCTCCCTCGAGGAATTATTGCTTTGCCCTCGTTTTCCACGGCCCTCTACACACGCCAAGCCAAGCCCCGTGATCTCTGCAGCGTGCACGGAGCGCCCCCCTGGAGTCAAGGTTGCCCAACACATTCCATTCCAAGACCCTGCTTTCAGTTGGTTGGAACATTGCAGACGTTAACCCTTCGGTCTGAAATTTCCCATGCCAGCTGTCCGCCTCAAAGTGGAAGTTTTGGGGGGCGTTAATCTATAATTATATACTGCTGAGCATTAAGAACACGTGCTTCCAGCTTTCAAGAATTTGCTTGGCAGGATATTTATATAAAATATATATTTAGATACATTCATATAAAAAAACCAAAACCCCTTCTCACGTGTCCGACTCATGCCAGCAAATTAGCCAGCACCGGTTTGTTACTTACGATGACTATTAACCATTATTATTCGTATTGCAGCAGCCCCTGGCCCCAGTCATGGACCATGACGCCAGATTTGGCTCACACTTTATATTCAGCTCCCACTGCCTTTGCTAGCAGTCCCAACTGCTCACAAATCGTGAATCAGACCTCCCACAAATCATGAGCTGGGACAAAAATTGGGTTCTTTTGATTCTCCTGCAGGCTTGTGAATGTTCCAGGGTCAAGTTCGCAGGTGTGGGGAGGAGCGTGATGTCTAGTGGTTAGAGCCTGGATTCTTTTCTTTAAAACCATGAGAGCTAGAAATGTATTACTAAGGGGGGGGGGGGAAGCTGAAGTTCAAAATAACATGACTTCTGAAAGTGGCGCATTAAGAGCTGGTCCCTGGATCAGGTTGTAAGCCTGAGACCAGGCAGACCCAGGGTCAACTCTATTCTCCCATCTGACCTGGGGCACGACTGAGCCAGATATTGGGCAGTGTTACACCCAGAGTTGCAATGTCTAACTCATTAGGAGCTAAAACTCAGTTTCCAAAAGGATTTAGGCACTTTGGAGCAAAAATCCCATCAGCTGTCCATGAGAGTCAGGTTCTGGAGTGCCTAAACCCCTTCGGAAAATGATCTGTGTTCCTAAATCAGTTAGGCGTTGAGATACTGAGTGCAGCTAGGCCAAAATGCCTTTAAAAATCTGGGTCTCCAGGCTCCAGTTCCCCATGTGTACCATGGGGCTAAGAACCTGAGAACGGCCCTCCTAGGTCAGACCAGTGGTCCATGTAGCCCAGTATCCTGCCTTCCGACATAGGCCAGTGCCAGATGCTTCAGAGACCAGCCCTGCCCTGCCTCACAGGGGGTCATGAGGAAAAGCGCAGTGATGATTGTGAGGTTCTCAGGGGCCAGGGTAATGGCCGTTGTATAAGTCCCATAAATAGGGCAGGAAAAGAAAAACAAGCCCATATCACGACACATGATCAAATCCGGCTGCTTCCGAACAGGCTAAATAAAGGGTCAGGTGATGTTTTAATAAATGGTGACCCCTCCGTCCTCGGGTGTTATAGGCTCCAGCCAGCCAACCGGCCACTATAACCATTGCTAACCCCTGCTGCTGATGCCGATAACCCACGCAGCTCACGGCTGTACAATATCTGAATGGCTCCATAATGTAGAGGGGGGCGGGGCGGTATCTGTACTTAAAATCAAGGCCCCGAACTGTGCAAACGAAACCGATGCTGCAGGGTCAGAAGGGTCACAAGAAAAGATCCAGAACTGCTGCAGTCCAGGGCTGGAGCGGCCCTGCCACGCCGGCAGGTACTAGGAGGGAACAGTCAAGACAGGGCTGGTGGCTTTGCCCTCTGCCCAGCCACGCAGGAGATCAGAGTTCGACTCCTGGGCCGGGCTGCGACTGTGGAGAAGCAGGGCCTGGGTTCGAGTCCTGCTCCCTAACGGAGCGATGGCGGAAAGGGCAGTAAAGGGGGGGGGGCCGGGATCCTGCTCAGCGCCACTTAGGATTTGCATTGCTCACGCTGCAGGGCGGGACCCAGTGTCGCTCAGCAGCGCCCCCCTCTGCCCGGCTGGGGAATGGCACTGCCAGGCTTCGAAAACAGAGCCCACGCCCCCCATCCCTTCCAGGAGTGGGGTGCAGCTTTGCTGGGATACTTGGGAACCTTGAAAGATACCCTTCACCCCCACCAAAATAGCAACCCTGGGAAATCCAGGGGCACCCATCATTTCTCAATGGGCAGCCCTGGAAAGCCCATATCGTCAGTGGAGGCTGCATCCACAACTTTCAGCCCTAAAAACACAGCTCTTGATGCCTCAAGCTAAAGGGTCAGCTCCTCCCCTGACCTCGGGGACAGGCTGCTGTAGTGGCTGGTGCCAGGCACTAGGGGGAGAGATGAGCCTTCAGCTTCCCCGCCCCGGGGTGCCACCAGCCCCGAAAACATTTAGCCCCGCCGACGCCCCCACCCCCTTGGCTTGGTTCCACCGCGCAAGCAAATGCCGACGGGTCAAATAAAGCTGAAGTTCAAGGCACAGGAAGTGGTGGAAGAGGCAGGATTCCAATCGGTCCTTTCGGAGGAAAAAACCAACCCACCAACCACCCCCCTCCCGCCCCCGTATAAAATATATATATAAAAAAATCCAACATAAACCCAAACAAACGTATTCAAAGTGCTAGGGACGGGGGACGGAGTCAACTCGGCCCTGGACGGATGGGGTACTGGGGGAGAGATTGGGGCCCCCTGCTTTCTTCCTGAAGAGGAATGCCACACAGGGGAGGGATCCAATTTGGGGTGTGAGCGGCAAGGGGTGCTGTTGTGAATGGAAGCACTCGGGGGTGGGGCTGACCTTTCTCCCTAGGGCCAGCAGTGCCCTCGAGGTCAGGGATTCACAGCGTAGGGATTGCGAGCACTTCACCCTTCCCATATTGCTAAGTGGGGCAGGAGGGATCCCAGTATGGGAAAGGGGTGCTGGTATAGGATAGGGAGTACCTGTATTGTATAGGCGGGTCCCAGTATGGAAGAGGGAGGAATTGGATAGGGGGTCCCAGTATTGCACATGGGACCCTGGTATGGAACAGGGGGCCCCACGAAAGGATAGGGGGTCCCTGGTCTGGAATAGGGGGTCCCAGTATTGGACATGGGTCCCTGGTCTGGAATAGGGGGTCCTGGTATTGGATGGGGGTCCCGGGTGTGGACTGGATCAAAAGCTGCAGCTCCAGGTTGGTTTTCCACATTAGGGCCCGACCCTGCCAGGCGCTGAGCGATGGGCGTTGAGGCAGGATCAGAGCCCTTTGGCCATTCAGAGGCTGGCTGCAGGGTTAGCCGGCCTGCCGGCCGACAGGCAGCCGCAGCCCCCGTCCGGGCGCGTTCACATCTAGAGCACAGTGTCCCCCGTGCCCCCCTGCGGCACCCCGGCAGCCCGGCGGGTCCCATCGTGCCCTGGGAGCCGGTGATGGCACGACTCTCTGCCGCCTAGCGGCCGAGAGGTGCGGGAGCCAGTTGCAGACCCCAGGGATCCCACAGCCCCCAGGGGAATGCACAAGCTAGCCTGCCCTCAGCCACCCCCCCAATGCCACTTGGTCCTCCGCTGCCCCACAATCCCCCCCACCCCTTGTTGTCACAACCTTTCACCCCCAGCCTGGAGTTCAGCTCTCGGCCCATCTCCCCGCAAAGACCCGACGACGCCTGGCAAAGAAATGGGGTCTCCCCAGCGTGGCCGGGGGCAAGTTTCCAGAGTCTTGCTTGGAGCAGGATGGGGCGGGGTGGGATGCAGGCCATGGGAGGGAATCTCCCCCCCTGCAGCTACCAGCACGCTTTATCCGGCCTCCAGCCCGCTGGGAGGAGAACTGTGCCACGCGTGACCACGGCCGGGGCAGGGGTGGGGGTGAGGCTCCCCAGCCCCCCCCAAAATCTGTTTTCCTTCCAGTCGGGGAGGGCGCCGGCCCCTTGAGACATGGGCTGAAAAGAACGAACGAAGACAACATGACGGGTGGCTGGCTGGAAGCTCAGATATAGGGGAAGAGGGGCCCCGGAGTCAGCCGGACGCCAGGGTCCCTGGAATACAGGCGGTGAGGGGTGCAGTTGCCGGGCAGGCTGAGAGTCCTGCCGCTGGGTGGGGGTTAGGGGTGGGCGTGGGGGGGGGGTGTTCTGGAAAAGCCCCTGAATATCAGAGGACAGTCACAAAGTACCCTTGACCCCCCCCCCCACTTTTGTCTCCAGGGAGGATCGTCCCCGCCCCCAGCCCCCCGGCCCTTCAGACGTGAGTCTGCATCCGCTGCTGGAACCGCTGCCCGTAGTCCGAGTGCTGGGAGGTGTAGGAGAAGCGGGTGGCATTGGTGTACTTGCCCATGGGGTCGTAGGCGTCGTAGGGGGCGCGGTCCAAGCTGGGCGGAGGGGGCTGGCTGTAGCCCAGGCGGTAGGTGGCGTAGCCGGCGCTGGGCGGGAAGGCGGCGTGGCCGCCGTAGTTCTCGTAGGAGAGCTGGCTGGCCGTCTCGCCCGAGGCGGTGCCCGGCGGGGGCCCCGGGGCCGGCTCGGCCCCGTACTCCGACGCGGGGCCCCGGCTGTAGGTGCTCAGCTGGGCGTAGCCGCTGGAGTGGGAGAGGCGGGAGGAGGGGCGCATGTCGTAGCGGGCGGGGCCCGGGGCGCGGTAGTCGGCGTAGAGCACGGTGCGGGAGGGCGGGCGGTCCTCGTGGGCGCGAACGTTGTAGTAGCCATTGGTTGGGTCCTGGAAGGGGAAAGGAGAGGGGCAGGTTCAGGCAGCGCCAAGGGGCGCACACGGGGCAGGGCAAAGCTCTGGGTGCCTGTGGACTATTCCGGGGGCATAGCTGGGCAAAGAACCCAGGAGTCCTGGCCCCCACCCCCAGCGGAGACACACACGTAATCCCTTCTGCACCCAGAGCTGCTGACATGCACACACCATCATACACCCCTTCGCACACAAGCACACTCGCTGGTGTGCTCAGGCACATTGGCACCAAGGCACAATCACTCCCCCGCACACTCCAGGCCGCCCTTCCCTGCCCACGCCCACACGCGCCGTTGCACGCTCAGTGGACAGGCGCCCCCCCGGGGGTGGTGCCAGACCTTGAGTTCGTACTCCTCCCGCGTGTCGATGGTGTCGCACCGCATATCCTGCTTCAGGTCCACGTCGTCCTTGAACGACTGTCGAGGGAGATGGGAAAGGGACCCGTCAGCTTCCCCGCCCAGGTTCTGCCTTAGCCCACCGGCCGCTCGGCTCCCCAGCCCCCAAGTCATCCCACCCACCCCGACCTGAACGCAGGACCAAGCAGGCTGTGGCTCCTCCCCACACTCTGGGGGCACTGATGTAACCAGCCAAGAATGGGACTCAGGAATCTGGGCTCCCTATTCTAATTACTAGCCCACACTCCCCTCGCAGATCCGTAAAGAACCCAGGAGTCCAAGTCCTGTACCCTGGGTTGGCAGCACCAGGGATTGAACCTGGGACCTTTGAAACGTAAAGCCTGAGTTGCTACGGCTTGAGCTAAAGGACAGAGCCTGCAACAGACTCATCAACACCTACTGATCACAGAGACAAAGCACCACTGAGTTACACCGCCCGCCCTGCCCCTCGGGGGGCACTCCCAGCAGCTACAGCCCAGGGTGGCTAGACATGGGTGGCTCCGTGGGGCATGGCTGGAACTGTGGCACCAGACTTAGCCCGCTGGGCTGTTTGATGGGTGCCAGGCTGGCCTCCTGCCCACCTCCCTCTTGCGACGTGTGCGGCCAGGAGGCCCCAGAACCCAGGAGTCCTGCCTCCCTGTTCTAATCACCAGGCCATACTCCTGGTCCCAGGAAGGGAACCCAGGAGTCCTGGCTCCCAGCCACCTTCCCCACCACTCTGACCACTAACACACGCTCTCTGTCCCACAGATGTGCACAGAACCCAGGAGTCCTGCTCTGAGCAGTAGTGAACTGTCTCGCTCTGTCGTGCTGCTGGGCTCGTTCCGGGGCCCCAGGGGGAGATCGGGGGGGGCCCTCACCGAGTAGATGGCCTTCATGACGCGGGTTGCCGTGGAGACGCTGGCCGTGTCCTCCTCGCGGTCCGCATGCAGCGTCAGGGGCTCCCGGTTCACCGTCTCCACCTTGATGTCCAGCTTGCGGAGGGTCACGTCCTTGCGGCCTGTGAGACACACAGACTGATGGACGGATGGACAGGGAGGCTCTGCCAGCTGCACCCCGGGCTTCTCCTAGCTGGAGACCCCAGCCCAGAGCCCTGGCTGTCGGGGGCCCTGGACTCACCCTTCCCCCTGACCTGGAGAAACTGGCCTCCTTCCTGGAAAGCCCCCGCAGCCGCCAGTCCCCCCTGCTAGGACGGGGCCTTGGCCAGGGACCTCATGGGCCAAGAGAAAGCGCACCCCCGTAGCAGGGCTTCCCCGCTTCCAGTTGCTCCTGGCCCCACCACCTGGCCCCGTGGGCACCTGCCTACGCCTAGCACCTGGCGCAAAGGAGCCATGGCCGTTCCCGTCGCCTGCAGGTGTCGTGGGCTTTCCAAGGGGCGCCCCCGGTGGACGAGGCTGCTTGTGGGCCACGTGCTCCATCCTGGGGTGACGGGGGCATCGGCCCGCAGACTGACACAGTGTGGGGGGAGACGCATCCAGCCGTGGCCCCTATGGACCACATGGCTTCTTGGTACCATCCCGGCCTGTCCCTTGAGAGGCTGGGGCAGTCTGGAGCCGTTCCCCTCCCTCCTCGCCCCTGGGCTGAGTTGAAGGGGGTTCCCGGGAATCCCCCGCCCCGCACTCACTTCCTTTGCGGCGCCTGTAGAGGAAGCAGACCAAGGCGACGAGGAAGAAGATGAGGAGGATGCTGGCCCCGATGGTGGCTCCGGCGATGATGCCCACGGGCAGGACTTCTGCAGGGGGAACGGGGGGTGCTTTAGCTGCGGGGAGCCGCGCTGCCCCCTTCCTGCCGGTTCCTCCCTAGCCCACTCTCACCCCTTAGCCCCCGACTGCCTTGAGATGGAGCAGGATCCCCTCCAAGGTTGGCATTGCTAGCCCTGCTCCCCAGATGGGGAAACTGAGGCACAGAGAGGGGAAGGGAGCTGCCCAAGGCCTCACACAGTCAGCGGCAGAGAACCAAGGAATCCACCCAGCCTCCTGCTCTAACCATCAGACAACACTGTCCCCCAGAACTGGGAATGGAACACAGGGCTCCCCATTCCCAACCAGCTGTAAACCCTGGTTCAGGCTCCCCTCCTAGAGTTGGGACTAGAACCTGGCTCCTGCTCTAACCACTAGATCCCACTCCCCTCCCAGAGCTGGGCATAGAACCCAGGCGTCCTGCCCTCTGTGCTCTAACCACTAGATCCCACTCCCCTCCGAGAGCTGGGGATAGAACCCAGGCGTCCTGACTCCCCCTCCCTGCTACCTTTCTCCTCCAGCTGGATGATGGCCGTCCCCGGCCCAAAGCTGTTCCAGGCCGTGCAGTTGTAGCGTGTCTGGAAATCGGCCTCCATCACGTTGTTGATGGTCAGGGTGGAGAGGACCCCGCTGCCCGTGTTGGTTCTCTCCACCGTGTAGCGCTCCAGTGTGCCAGCTTCCAGGATGTTCTCCTTCCAGGCCCAGGCCTATCGCCGGGTGGGGCGTGCAAAAGGGAGAAAGGCCTGGTCAGCTCCCGGGGCTGAGAGCTCCTGCCCCATCACACCTCCGCTAACCCGGGAGAACCCTAGCATCCGGGCCAAATCCCAGCTGGGTATCTACAGCCCACCAGCCCCCCGCTGTTCCAGTAGGATACGATCGTCCCGTTCACTTCCTGTCCCAAACTGAATGGGGATGTGGGAGGATCATGGTGGGATTCCTCCATTCAGCCACCATCTGCAACTTGAGGACACAGGAGGCGGCACCAGGGCTGTGTCAACAGGTAGGTGGGTAGACAGGGATAGCTAGATGGGTGTGTATAGGGATAGACAGACAGACAGACAGATATATGGGTGTGTATGGGGATAGACAGAAAGATAGATAGATGTGTATAGGGATAGACAGGTAGGTAGCCAGGTGTGTATGGGGATAGAAGACAGGCAGATAGACGAGTGTGTATGGGGATAGACAGACAGAAGACAGGCAGGTAGATGGGTGCATATGGGGATAGACAGATAGAAGACAGGCGGGTAGAGAGGTGCATATGGGGATAGATAGACAGAAGACAGGCAGGTAGATGGGTGTGTATGGGGACAGACAGACAGAAGACAGGCAGGTAGATGGGTGCGTATGGGGATAGATAGACAGAAGACAGGCAGGTAGATGGGTGTGTATGGGGACAGACAGACAGAAGACAGGCAGGTAGATGGGTGCGTATGGGGATAGACAGGCAGGTAGATGGGTGCGTATGGGGACAGACAGACAGAAGACAGGCAGGCAGATGGGTGCGTATGGGGATAGACAGACAGAAGACAGGCAGGCAGATGGGTGCGTATGGGGATAGACAGATAGAAGACAGGCAGATGAGACAGGAGCAGAGACAAAGGCATGTGAAAGAATGGCAGAGACAGGGAGCGTGAGATTGACAGAGCGATGCAGACAAAGCAAACAGCGACATGTGAGCAATGTTAATACTGCTGAGCTCCGAGACAAATTCAGCTCAGGAAATAGCACAATGCAGGCCCCTCCGGGTGGTTATTGCAGCCCCATTGCTCACCACGGGGCCAGGGTGTAATAAACATTTCATACCACGGGCCATTGTAACTCTCCCAGCACAAGCAGGACCAGCGCGTGCCCTGGGCTCACCGTACAGCCACGGTCACCTGAGGAGACTGCATGTAAGCCTTCCCCGCCACTGTGTTTATTTTTCAATCGAGCTGCTTTAATGGGGCAGTAACGAGGCTGGGTTTTTTTAAAGAGACGCTGCCAGCCAGGACTTCTCCTTTAGGTTACACTGCAGTCGCACGACAAGTCAAGTCCCGGTGTCCCCACAAGGGGGCGTGCTCGTGCCACACCAGAACAGGACCTCGCTTCAGGCTGCTGGTTGCTAGCGGTTTTGCTCCTCTGTGTAAACTGCAGTTTCTTTGTTTCCTGAATCACGTCATTCCTTCTCCCTCCATTCCAAAGCAGCCGCTCTGACCTGATCCGAGTAAAGCCATCACATCCCCTTCCCTCCCCGCAGGATCTGGCTGTAGGTTGGTCAGTGACCCATCCCAAGGCAAAGCCAAGAGTGCTCGTCTCACCCAATGATTGCTCTTGCAATTAACTATTTACAGCTGAGGGGGAGAGGGAAGAGATGCAGCTGGCCTAAGAGTGCTAGGAAACAATAATCGCAGCTGTGAAGGGAAAACGACTATTTTCTGGGAGCATTCAGCAGGGGTGGGGTTCGGGGACCTGCACATTCTGACTCCAAATGTCCGACTCTGTCTGCTTCTCACTACCCCTCCGTTCCGGCCTCATTCAACCCTCCTTTTTCTCCCAGCCTCCCCTTCCTTCTCCACCACAGCCAACGCGGCCGTATCCAAGTGCAACTAGAACGGGTCTGAAAATTTTAGACGGAACAGAAACGCAGTTTGGGCAAAATTGAAATATTTCACGGGAACCTGTCGATTTCAACAGTGTTGACGAATCATTTCAATGTTCTCATTTCCAGGACATCAAAAGGTTCCATTTCGAATTCATTGCTCTGATTCATTTTGGTTCAACTTGTATTTTATAGTGAAATGTTAATGTTAATAGTGTATTATATTTATGTACAGCAGGACCCCAGTTTTAGGAACATCGACCTTATGAATGATCGCTTACAAGAACCATCTTTCTGCTACAATCCATCAGCTAACGTTCAAGCGACTGTAGAGGCTTGAAAAGTCTGAGAGATTTAGCAGCCACGAAGAAGAGCTGCAGTTTTCTCAAATAAAGGAAAATCCGGCACCCTTAACCCATCTGTTACCACTCATTATGTACACAATCACTGAACAATTAATAAATTAACATGTGCACCGTATTACCCTCAACTTTGAGATGTTCAATTTTATGAGCTTTTCGACATTATGAATTCCTCAATCCCCCATTATTTCGCTAAACAGGAGCTCTACTGTATTGTATTTATTATTGTAGATAATGTATGTTATATTTATTATTTTAATACAATATCCACGTTGAAAAGAATCAGCATTATTGGAACCAAATGGTTTTGCCTTCTCAAACCAAAACATCTCAATGGTTTCGGAGAGAAATTTGGGGGAATTTTTTGTTCTGTGCCACATTTCAAAATGTTGATTTTTTTTGTTACGATTCAGAACAAAAATTAATTTGGGGAATTTCCGAATTTCCCAGGGAACAAAAATTCAATTTTCCAACCAGCTCCCACGTTATTGATGCCAACGCGACTCTCTGTCTCTCTCTAGTGGCTGGAGGGTATAGAGAGGTTTATGAGCCCATGGATGGGTCCCACCTGGTCCAGTATCTCAACCCGCGGTAACTCGTGCTGATGAATCCAGAGACTGGCGTCAGATATACCCACGGGGATGTCACAGCATAAACTCCAAGGACAACATGAGTGCCTTAAATTTAGGCTAGTCCATATTGGAGAAACTGACCATGCTAAACTGACCAGCCTCAAGGACTGTGGCTCATCTTACGTCCGCATGCACCAGGCAGCTTGCATCTGTGCTAAGGGCCACTCCAGGCTGACCGTGCTTAGAGCCAAAGTGGATACAGACGAGCTGGAAAGGTTCCACTCGGCCCACCCGCCACCATCCTTCACAAATCTCCCAGCATGCCTTCTTCCGGCAGCAGAGCCAGGGACCGTGGGATAGCTCCCCGTTGCAGTCCCTAACCCTGGCGAGTGTGGACTGGCGGAGCTGTTGGTGCATAAACTGGCTTCCGTTCTCTGGCACAGGCAACAAGCACAGCTCCTCAGCCCAGGGAGCGTTGAGAAGCACAGAGACCGTGATGACAAGGTCCTGGTTAGGAAGGAAGCTGCTGCTGCCCTGGTGTGTTAGCTAGAGGGTCCCCAGCCCAGGCCGGGTTGCCCTCCGCCCCGCCCCCTGTGGAGAGCGCCCCCCCAGGAGAGCACTCACAATGCGGTCGGGGGGTGGCGTGCTCCCGATGAAACACTCCACTTTCCCGCGGTCGCCACGCACAGCGTACTGAACGGCCTCGCTCGAGATGATCGGGGGGCCTGTGGGGGGGGGGAGAAACAGCTGCTTAAAATGGGCACCGTAAGCCAGAGACTGCCTGGGGCAGAGTGGGCACTCCACGGCTGTGGAACATCGCACCAGGCTCATTAGTTTAGGCATTGGGCATGAATACTGGGGTACTGTGCTAGGGTACCAATGGGCATGAATACTGGGGTACTGTGCCAGGGGTACCAATGGGCATGAATACTGGGGCATTGTACTCAAGGTACCAAGTCGTGGGTACGAATACTGGGGCATCATGTCCAGGGTACCAAGTCGTGGGTTTGAATACTGGGGTACTATGCCAGGGTACCAGTCATGGTCATGAATACTGGCATACTGCCCCTCGGTACCAAGTTGTGGGTTTGAATACTGGGGTACTGTGCCCAGGGTACCAAGTCGGTCCAAATACTGGGGCATCGTGCCCAGGGTACCAAGCTGAGGGTCTGAATACTCGGGTACTGTGGGTATGAACACCGGGGTACAGCCTGCTCCCCAATACCCTGGGCAGAGGGCCTCACCATTGACAAAGAGGGTGACCTCCCGCTCGCCCACGCCGATCCTGGGCACGATGGCTTTGCAGATGTACTGCCCAGCGTCGGCCTGTGTCACCGACTTCAGGTAGAGCTGGTTGCTGTTGCTCAGCACCTGGGCACAAACACAGGGCGGAGCGTGAGAGGGGGGCATGTGCGGCGGGGGACAGGCCGTGCGAGCCCCTGGGCTATGGGGCGCTGGGAGAGGAATTACCATGTTGGATTCTTTTTTGGTCCAGGTGAGGGTCAGCGGGGGGTTGCCGGCCCACACGCATGTCAGCGTCACATCCGAGCCGATGTCGGTGGTCGTGGGCTTGGGGTCCACCACGATCCGAGGGGCAACTGCAAGAGAGAGACGTCAGCGGCCCTGGGTGCGCAGGTATGTTCCTGGATCCCATGGGTGGACGTGGCTGTGTGTCCCCGTTGCCGTGGGTGTGTCCCAGTGGGCTCATGGCTCATGTGTGTGTGTGTGCGTGTCCCCACATGTCTGTGTGCTCATGGCTTGTGTGTCCATGTGTCGCCATGTGTGTTCACCCCCCTGCTTGTGGTTCATCCGTGTGTCCATCCCCGGGTGTGCGCTCATAGCTTACCTCTGTGTCCACATGGGGGTGTGTGTGCATGTGTGCTCCTGGCTCGTGCGCGTGTGTGTGTGTGTCTGTGTGCACGCGTGCATGTGCTCATGGCTTGTGTGTGTGTGTGTTCTTGTGTGTGTGAGGGCGTGTGCTCATGGCTTGCTTGTGCATGTCCCCCCGTGTGTCCCCGTGTGCTCAAGGCTCGTGCGTGAGCATGCCCCGTGTGTCCCCGAGTGCTCAAGGCTCGTGCTTGAGCATGCCCCGTGTGTCCCCGTGTGCTCAAGGCTCGTGCGTGAGCATGCCCCGTGTGTCCCCGTGTGCTCAAGGCTTGTGCGTGAGCATGCCCCGTGTGTCCCCGTGTGCTCAAGGCTCGTGCGTGAGCATGCCCCGTGTGTCCCCGTGTGCTCAAGGCTCGTGCGTGAGCATGCCCCGTGTGTCCCCGTGTGCTCATGGCTCCAGCCTCCAGCCCCTGCCCACTGAGGCACAGCTCGAGGGGCTCAGGCAGTGGGGCGGTCTGTGCCCTTGGCACTAACAAGCCTGCGTTCGAGTCCCGCTGCTGGCCGTGTTTTCTGTGTGCTCAGGGCCGGGCTTGGCACTCAGGTGACACACCACTAGGCTGGCTGGTACCCGGGGAGCCAGCGAGCACCCTGGGCTCTGCCTGTGCCCAGCCGCCTCCCTGCAGAACCCCCCTTTTCCAGCCCCGACTCGTCTCCGCCCAGGCCGAGCGGTGGGGCGCATCGCCCCCCTGGGGCACTCACAGTGCACGTCCACCAGCGTGCTGACGTTGGTGCTTCCCACATCATTGTGCACCTCGCACGAGACGGGCTCCGTGAAGAAGGAATAATCCACCTGCGCCTCGTACTTGCTGTCCTTGGCTTCTTCGATGATCACGCCACCCTTGGCCCACCTGTGGGGGGGAGAGCAGACATGATGATAGGCTCCTCCCCCTGGGGGGAAGGGGAGGCCAGACACAGCTAGAGGCTCCTCCCCCTGGGGGGAAGGGGAGGGCAGACACAGAGAGAGGCTCCTCCCCCCAAGGAGGGAGGCGGCTCAGCGGGTTGATGATGGGCTTCGGAGCTGTGTAACCCATCAGTGAACGGTTCGAATCCACTGGGGTGTGGGGGAGGCATCAGGAGCCGAAGCTGAGTGCTGTGATGCTAGCGGGAATCTGGATTCAGGAGCTGGTTGGCCCGGGGACTCCCATTTAATTGTATCCCCGCTGGTTCCACCCGCGCCCCTCACCTGTAGCCTCTGATCTCCGGGTTGGCTGTGGCCACGCAGGTGAAGACGACCCGCTCGCCTTCCTGCACCGTCTGGGGCTGGATGGAGAGGGTGACCGTGGGGGGATCTGCCCGGGAGAGACGGAGACAGCCGTCACTGGCACGACGCACGGGAAGGAAACTGAGGCAGGGACAAAAAAGGCCCCCAGGCTGGAGCCTGGTGCAGGGAGCTGCTTGTTCTGCCAGCCCAGTGAGCCACGGGGCGGATTTTCCCTGGCTGGGGCGGGGGTCTTTAAATCAACGCTGGGGGGAGCTCCAGGAGAAGCTCAATGGAAAACCAAGGGGTGGACAGTCTGTGGATCAGCCTCCTCCGGTCAGTGCCACGTGGCAGGGGGAACGCCGCGCCCCAGCTGCCTCTCGTGTCCCGTGAGAGCTGCGATTCCCCACAGCAGCCACTGGGGGTCAGTGCTGGGCCGCAGACACAGCGGGGAAATCCTGAGCGGCCAACGCTGCAGCCCCGCACGGCAGGCCAGCGCCATCCCCCGGCCCCGCTCCGCGGGCGGCCGGCAGAGACTTGCCCCAGCAGATCAGCGGCAGACCTGGAGACCCCCAGCTCCTGAGTCCCGGTCCTGTGCTCCGTCCACTGGCCCCCACGCCCTGGCCCCCGTGCGTCCTGCAGGCTGTTTGTGCCTCTCAGGCAGGGTGGCCCCGCGCCCCGGTACCCCGGTGGCCTGCAGCTGCCCAGCCACGCTCGTGGGACCGGGTGCTGTCACAGCATGCCGGGGGGCTGGGCGGGGGGCCTGACATGCAGAGCTGTCCGGGGCAGCCAGCGGAGAGCCTCCCAGCCTCGCATCTCACAGTGATTCTAAACCTAGGACGATCGGAGCTCCTCCAGCCGCCCCGGGGCCAGGTGTAGCTAGGCAGCGCCAGCATGAGCGTCCCGCCCCACCCTGTGCCATGGGGCTGCCCAGCTGGGACCGGCTGGAGAGGGGGCATTCTGTCACCAAAAGGTAGACTGGGGTTCCAAAGTGTGGAAATTAGGGTGACACCAATGCACATAACCCTAAGAACCTGGCAGAGCAGTTATCTATCTATCTCCAGACACCCCCACTCTGTCTGTCCGTCTGTCCATCCATCCCCAGACACCCCCTCTATCCCTCTATCCATCCCCAGACACCCACCCTGTCCATTCATCCCCAGACACCCCCACCCTGTCTGTCTGTCCATCCATCCCAGACACCCCCACCCTGTCTGTCCGTCTGTCCATCCATCCCAGACACCCCCCTCTATCCATCTATCCATCCTCCATCCCCAGACACCCCGTCTGTCCATCAATCCATCCTCAGACACCCCCTCTCTATCTATCCATCTCCAGACACCCCCACTCTGTCTGTCCGCCTGTCCATCCATCCCCAGACACCCCCTCTCTATCTATCCATCTCCAGACACCCCCACTCTGTCATCTGCCTGTCCATCCATCCCCAGACACCCCCTCTCTAACCATCCCTCTATCCCCAGACACCCCATCTCTGTCCATCCATCCATCCCAGACAGCCCCTCTATCTATCTATCTATCTATCTATCTATCTATCTATCCTCCTACACACCCCTCTATCTACGAACCAAGCACTGGATGTGATCAGTGCCCTGGGGTGGCTTCTTTCCCCATTGCAGACACAGCCTCCTGTGGGCTGCCCCCTGCCCCTCACCTGGTCATTTACCCCAGTGGGTGTAAATGGCAGTGTTCTGCACCCACTGCACGCTGGTGTAACTGATGAGGGGAAGGGAGGTGGGGAACCAGGCCCCATTCCCACTGCTCCTGCACTTGCCGTCCAGCGGGGCCCTGGAGCCCAGCAGCAGGGCGGGGGCTGGACTCACGGTGTACGTTCAGCTTGATGGAGGTCTCCTTGCCGGCCGGGACGGCGTCGTTGGTGCTCCGGCAGACAAAGACCCGCCCGATGTCCGCGTCTGTGGGGTTGATGAGGAGCTGGCTGACCGTGGTTTCCCTCTTGCCATCTGCTAACACTTCCTGTCCACAGGGAAGAGGAGATGATCAAACCATAGGGCTGGCAGAAGGGGGGCACTTGGTGCTATTCCTTCCTATTGCCCAGGTGGAGAAACTGAGAGGGCAAGGGACATGCACAAGACCACACAGCATGTCAGTGGCAGAGTCAGGTACAGTGTCCACAAGCCCAGATTCCCTTCCCCCTGCTCTGACCACCAGACTTAGGCTCCAGCCCAGGCCTGGGAGAAGAACCAGGAGCCCTAATTTCTATTTTGCTGCTCTAACCACTAGACCCCATTCCCAGCCAGAGCTGGGAAGAGAACCCAGGAGTCCTGACTTAAAGTTCACTGCTCTAACCACTAGACAGCACTTCCTTCTACAGTTGGTGGAAGAACACAGAAATCCTATGCCAAGTGCCCCCCAACTCTAACCGCTAGACCCCACTCGTCTTCCAGATCTGAGAACAGAACCGAGGAATCCAGGTGCCTAGTCCCCACCCGCTCTAACCACTAGACCCCACTCCTCTCTCAAGGCTGGGGAGAGGACTCAGGTGTCCTGCTGTAACCACTAGACTGTACTCTGTCACTGAAAAAAAACAACCCCAAACTCTCTGATGATGCCACTGCTGGGGAGAATCTCGGTGGGCAGGACTTCCCGGGGGGGTCGGAGCCAGGCCGGCAAGTGCTAACGCTGCAGTGAATGGTTTCCGAATTCGCCTGGAATGGCGCTCCCCCACTCGCCTGTGACATGCCCATAAAATGCCCCACAAGTTCATCAGGATTAATGTTCTCGCACCATAAACTGTGTGGGGATTAATGAGCGGGACATTTGGCTTTCAAGTGCTCTTGGAAAGTGCAACCAGCTCTGTCAGGGGAAAGGAAAACTAGTCAAACCAATTAAAGAGGCAGTGGGAGGGGGAGGGGACGGCATTTCCTTCCAGCAATTAACAAGGATCCGGTGACAGCCCTGGGGCACCCAGAGCAGGTGCAGTGGGAGGGATGAGCAGGACGTCCGCCTCCGGGGTGGAAGGGGAGCTGAGCCTCCGTGGCCCATTCCGTCCTCAGGCCACGTGCTAACGAGGGCCAACTGCTAATGAGGGCTGACGGGGACGGGCAGTCATTGTTCGCTCCCCTGGGCTGGACTGAGACCTCTCTAACTCGTTACATGAATGCAGGAGAAAAGGGGCCCAGGATTCTGAGTGGCGCAGGCGGGTTAGAGGGCTGTGCCCTGGAGGGGCTGCTCTCCTGTGTCCTTCCTGCAGGGGTTTCAAACGGAGCCAGCCACCCCGCTGCGCCTCCCCAGGGGAGGAGGGATCCACCTGCCTTCTCTCCCCACCCTCGGCATCTTCTAGCTGGTGGGGAACGGCAAAGGCCGGGCGGGCCGGGCTCTGTACCGTGCTGATGCTGGTGTCGTCCTGCTGCAGCCCGTCCCGGAACCAGACGATGGTGGCGGCAGGCTTGGCGCTGTGAGCCCGGCACGTCAGGTTGTACGGGGTGCCAGCCCGCAGCAGGATCTCGGGGGCGCCGTCGATCACCGGGTCTTCAGGGGGAACTGGCAGCAGCGGAGAGAGAGGCAGGTGAGTGCCGGGTTGGCTCAGATCCGGCACGCGGCTGGGGCTTCGGTGCACCCCGGCGCTGGCTGACCCCTCACCCTCTGCCGCCCACAATATATTCCCGGCCCCGCTACACACACCACGGCCCCCAGGGTAGTGGGCATGGCGAGGCGACGGGGGAAGAAATCGCGGACCAGACGAAGTGGGGGAAGAAACTCGCCAAGCACCATCAGGAACGTGGGGAACACAGGGGTCAGCGTGCAGGGAACACAGGGGTCAACATGTTGTGGCAGAGCATTGAGCCCCTGGGTGCAGTCTACACCGTTCATGCCATATCTGAGCGAAGCCATGGTCCATCCACCCCAGCACCTCCCCTTCCTGCTGCCCCGGACCAGACCACTGAGCCATCCACCCCAGCATCCCACTTACTGCTGCCCCGGACCAGACCACTGAGCCATCCACCCCAGCATCTCCCCTTGCTGCTGCCCCGGATCAGACCATTGAGCCATCCACCCCAGCATCCCACTTACTGCTGCCCCGGACCAGACCACTGAGACATCCACCCCAGCATCTCCCCTTGCTGCTGCCCCGGATCAGACCATTGAGCCATCCACCCCAGCATCCCACTTACTGCTGCCCCCGGACCAGACCACTGAGCCATCCACCCCAGCATCTCCCCTTGCTGCTGCCCCCGGATCAGACCATTGAGCCATCCACCCCAGCATCCCACTTACTGCTGCCCCCGGACCAGACCACTGAGCCATCCACCCCAGCATCTCCCCTTGCTGCTGCCCCGGATCAGACCATTGAGCCATCCACCCCAGCATCCCACTTACTGCTGCCCCGGACCAGACCACTGAGCCATCCACCCCAGCATCTCCCCTTGCTGCTGCCCCGGATCAGACCATTGAGCCATCCACCCCAGCATCCCACTTACTGCTGCCCCGGACCAGACCACTGAGCCATCCACCCCAGCATCTCCCCTTGCTGCTGCCCCGGATCAGACCATTGAGCCATCCACCCCAGCATCTCCCCTTGCTGCTGCCCTGGACCAGACCATTGAGCCATCCACCCCAGCATCCCACTTACTGCTGCCCCGGACCAGACCACTGAGCCATCCACCCCAGCATCTCCCCTTGCTGCTGCCCCAGATCAGACCATTGAGCCATCCACCCCAGCGTCTCCCCTTCCTGCTGCCCCGGACCAGACCATTGGTCCATCCAGTCCAGCATCAGCACTGGACTAGACCATTGGTCCATCCACCCCAGCATCTGCACCAGACCAGACCACTAGTCCATCAGCCCAGTACTCTGACTTCAGCCCTGGTCAACAGCTGGTGCTTCTGAACGCTCCCATAATGCACCTGGCTGACTGGGCGGATAATGCTGGGGGAGGGATTCATTCAACCCCTGTTACGGTGACCAGCTCACACCCTCCATCCCGAGCTCCGACCATCCTTTTAATATAACCTGAAAACCTGCACAAACTGGCCTCAATCGATCTGGCCCCATTTGAGAAAGCTCCAAAGCGTTTGACCCCAGGAAATGAACCATTCTCCATTCGGATGGGGCAGTGCGGGTCACACCCCGATATTAAGGCGGGGAGGGGAGAGAGAACTGCCAATCCCATGTGTATTTTCAAGATTTAAAACATTTTTCCATGCTCAAATTAGGGATCAAAGGTAAAATCTTGAAATTTTTTGTGAACCGAAAAAATAAATTGTTTTGGGTCAATCACGACGCCTCATATGTCATTTCAGTTTCAACCCTTTGCTTCTTTTCTCCTTAGTACAAATGAAGGGACATTTTGAACCAGAAAGTCGTGCTGAACTGAGACATCAAAACTTTGCCTTTGAAAAATGATGACAATTCCTAAACGGCTTTTCAAGTCGGGACATTTGTTGAAACCAGACCTTCCCCGCCAGCCATTTCAGTCTTGCTGAAGCCAGCAAAAAAACATTTTGCCGAAAAATCCCTGATCAGCACTCGCCCCTGTTTTCGGCCCTCTGTGACAGACACAGAGACACGACAGGAAGCCCAGCCAGAGATGCTATCTAAAGGTGGTTACATGTGCTATTCCGTTAGATGAAATATGCAGAGAGATCTGTGTTTTAATGAGAGCTTTATGTAATCTGCTCAGGAGCTCTGTCTTGGACCTGCAGCTCTTACAGCAGGGAAAGGGGCTTTAAAAAAAGCCCTACCAAGTTGTACTCCACAGCGAGCGGAGGTTTTTGGTGGCTCTTTCAACCACCGCACGTCTTAATGAATCCAGGCCGCATGACACTGAAAAATTGATGATGCTCTAATAAAGAGAAACTGATTAGCAGCACGAAAAAAGACACAGGCCTGTTTGCGGGCTCTGTGTAAGTGAAGTCAGGCTTTGACAGCTGATTGTCAGCCGGGAAACTGAGCTGGGGAAGTTGCTTTTCTTTGTACAAAGCCACTTTGTGATTGATTTCTAAAGCCCCATTACTGATTTATTAGGGCTTAATTTAAAAATAAAAATAAAAGAAGAAGCAGGCCTTGTTTGGAGTTAAGAACAAAACCTTAAGAGAAGGAAACTGGGCCACCAAAAAAAGATCTTTGCTCCCAATCTTCCGCCGTTACCCACGAAGCAGGCAGGATTGCGGGTGGGGTGGATGCGAGCCGTCAGTCGCGACAGTGACAGCTTATGGCTTTCTTCTCTGTTTGCCTGCAGGTGCCGTCCCCGGAGTGCGCTATAAAAGTTCCGGGACCTGCGGCTGGCAGGGCGGGGGGTTGGCTGTTTGCAGGTAGGATGGGATTTTTCTGACACGCTCGCAGAGAGGGAGCCCAGATGGATGTGTTGGAAAGGCCCCATTGGTTTCAAATTGCCCCAGGGGGGTTCTCTGCAGTTATGCGAATGCATAATGGGGGTCTAGAGGAGGGCGCGCAGGGCCTGCCGGGGAGGAAGGGAAGAGCGGAAAAGGATGGAACAAGCTTGCACAGTTTCTGCTTCTGCTCCTCGCATAGACCCAGGGCATCCCTGTCCCCAGCCAACTCGCTCGGGACCCTGGTTTGAGACCCTGGCCCCTGGCTCCTGTGCTTTTGCTTACAGGCTGCTTTTGCCCTGGCGGTGACAGCACCAGTCTGGACGGTCATCCTGTCACCTAGCCCTGCCCAGGTAGGGGGCACAAGCAGGGCCTTAGTGGGTTTATCTCAAGCTCCCTCAGCCTCTAGAGTTGGCAGAAAGGAGATTCCCTGGCAGCATTGCTGAAGGGCCGAGGTCGCTTGTTGTCTCTCCAGAACCCCAGTGTATCCAACTCCAGCCCCCCGTGCCGCTGACTGTACAGGCATCCAACCCACAGGGCTTCAGAGCCCTCCCATGGGGCGGGCAAGGGGAGGGAGGATCCCCCCGCCAGCACCTGCTGATCTCAGCCCATGTCCCATTCTCCCAGCCTGCCCCAGCCGTGGGCCCCGAGCATGCCCCCACCACTGTCAGTCTGCCCGGCCCCCTCATGCAGCATCCCCGCTCGGTCCCTCTCGGAGCCGGGCTTCGGTGGTGCCGAGAGCTGGCTGCTAGCCTGACGCCCCACTGGCGAAGTGCCCCAGTGGCAGAGGAGAGATGGGCTGGGCTGGGCTGACTCTAATGCAGGCTGCTGGACACCGGCAAACTCTACGATTCCCTCTGGCTCTCCACCTCCCTGCGCGGCCTGGCCTCACCCCCGTGCGGTCCCCCGAAACCCTCACCTGCATTAACAGCGTCATGGAAGGGAGCGCGGCCATCTCCTGCAGCGCCCGGCGCATGGCGCTAGGAAGATGCATGTGTGGGGTAGCGTGCAAAGCTCCAAACAGCCCTGAATCCTTCAGACCCTGCCCAAACCATCCCTCCCCCTCTCTTAACCCCCCTAAGAGGCCATCATACGAGCCTTTCTAACTGCTCCCAGGCCCCAGCCCACCCGCCCCCGAACCCGAGTGACCGGGCGGAAATCTGCGGTTTCAGCTGCCCGTTCAGTAATCCAGCAGCATCCCCCTCACGCCTTCCCTTTAATTTTATCTCCCGGCGTTAGAATAAGAATTTCAATGCAAGAGAAGGGGAGGAAAAAATCCATCGGCCCCAAATCCCATTCATGCAATATTTCGATTGCGGCTTTTTACAAGGCACAAAAGTCAGGGAAATCAAAGTTACGTCGCCCACAGCTGCAGTAACTCAGTCACGGCGCGCATATAGATGAAGGCATTAAAGGGAGCGGCACATCCAGGACCCGCGAGGGCGGGGGGAGGCGGCTGCGGGAGCGGCATTCCCGACGGCCCGCGGAGCCGGCGGCCACCACCAAGTTCTCTGCACTTCATTTTTGAGCAAAGGGGTTTCGAAGGCGGCGAAAGCGCTCAGGGAGATCAGGGCCACCCGGCAGAGGCCATGCCCCGCCCAGGCTCTGGGGCAGGCTGGAAAATGGGATCCCCTCCCACAGTTGGGGTACCCAAGAGGGAACAGCTGCTGGCAGACATGCTAGTGTCAGGCCCAGGTCTCCTCTAGAGAAGCGGCCATGGGTTGGGTCAGTTGAGTGGGTGTCCCCAGTGGACAGGAGGAGGGTTAGATGGCGCACTCCTCTCTGCGTCAGTCCTGACCCCAGTGTCCCAGCCTGGCACTAGGGGGCGCTGTGCTGCAGGGATGGGGTGGGGACTCAGTAGGGGGCGCTCTCCCCTCTAGAGCAGTGCTGACCCCAGTGTCCCAGCCTGGCACTAGGGGGCGCTGTGCTGCGGGGAGCAGGGTGGAGGGTTCACTCGGGGACACGTGCCTCAGCATGGACTCAAAGGGGAGAGCGCCCCCAGCTCTGGGTCACCCTCGCTGCTCCCTGCAGGTCTCCAGTCGCAGAACCAACCCAGATTCACCCTGGCGAGCCGCTTTGCACCAACCCAACAAGAGACAGAGCAGAGCACCTAGTCCAATCCCGGGCACAGCCCTGACACAGGGAGAGGGGCTGGGGGGCTGGGGGAGCCCTGCAGAAGAAGGGCCGGGGGAGCGGGCAGCCCCTTACTCAGGACGGTGAGCTTGGCCCGCCGGGAGCGCAGCGCGGCTTCTGTGGCCTGGCACTCGTACAAGGCGTCATCCGAGAGCTCGGCGTCGGTGATCTCCAGGTTGTATTGTCCGGAGTCTGCCGTGCCGATGATCCGGTAGCGTGGCCAGGCTGCAGAAAGAGACAGGACAGGCAGGGAGGTGACAGGAAGGGACATGGCACCGGTAGGAGGCACTAGAGACAGGTTAAGGGACGGTTCCCTGGGATCCCAAACCCCTTTGCAGATGTGAACGATGACATACAAGCTCCGTCAGGAATAGCTGCAGCCACCTCTGGGGTGGTGCATGGCAGCTGTTTAACAGCCACTCAGCAACACTGCACAGGGATTGCTCACCCAGTGCTGAAATGCGGCCACCTCTGGGGTGGTGCATAGCAGCTGTTTAACAGCCACATAGCAATGCTTCATGGGACTCATTCACCAAGCACTGAAATGCAACTGCATCTGGGGTGGGGCATGGCAGTTGCTTAACAGCAACACTGCACAACAATATAGGACAGCAAGGGAGGAACTGAAACCACAGTGGGATCTAGAACGTCACTGCCAGAGGTGGAATGGGGCCAGGAGGACAAGGTTATGATTCATAGAAAAGGTGCTATGGGATCTTAAACGAGCATGAGTGGTTGAGACTGCAGTTTTCCATCTCATCAGAAAGACACAGGAGCATAAGAAATGCTGGGTCAGGCCAGGGGCCCATCTAGCCCGGTATCTTGTTTCCAACTGCTGCTTCAGAGGAAAGTGTAAGAACCCCCATAACGGGAGGCAGTGTGGCTTCATGGCTAGAACACTGGATGGGGACTCAAGAGATCTGTGTTCCAGTCCCATTTCTGCCATCGGTCTGCTGTGTAACCTTGGACAAGTCACTTCCCTTCTCTATGCCTCAGTTTCCCCCTCTGTACAATGGGGAGAATAACTCTAGGCTCCTTTGTAAAGTGCGTTGAGATCTACAACTAATAAGAGCTAGGGACTGTTATTAATTCTGGAATAACCTGCCCCAGGACAGGTTAATTCGTTCCTAATACCAGGTAGCCAGTGGCTTCTGGACAGCTTGTCTTATTATCTGCATAAAGCCTGAACCATGCTAAGCTCTACCACCCATTAGTATCTTGTGGCAGTCAGTTCCACCGGCTAAGTCTGTCCTGTGATTAAAAAGAGGCGGCTCCTCTAGACCTAATAAAAACCCTGGAGCACGGAAGAGAATTCAGAGTGTAGGAAGAGAATGGGCCAAATGAATCCCGGGTGTTACTCTATGGGAATCAACGGAGTTATGATTTCATTCTGCCCTGCTTTCCACAGGTTAGATGCCAGCCAGCCTCTTCCCCTCTCTCCATCTCATTCAGCAATGTCGTCCCAGCTAACGGCGCTCTGCTCCCCCCAGTGTGTGCATGGTGGGCGGGGGGCATGAAAGAAAGACTGAGCGAAGGGCAGGGCAGGCGGGAGGGATGAGCGCGAGAGGGTGGAGACGTGGGGCAGCGAATGAACGAAACCTGGATAAGCACAGAGGGGAAAGGAGTGGGCTGCCAGCAAGAGACACACGCTCCCCCCCCACCCCGATTGGCACTGGGAGACAGGACGCCAGCGGGCTTGGGAATCACCGGAGCTGGCATCTGAATCTGTTGGAGCGGCCCTGGGTGTTCCCCGGACAGTGACAGGGCCCTGTTAACACCTTGGACTCTCAGGGCCCATTTAGTCCATTGACATTAACGCCAGGAGAGCCAGCAATCGGGTCTGCCCAGGGAGAAGGGCAGTGGGTAGATCAGTCACGTTGCTGCTCGTGCCTTGTGACTCCAGCCCCATCGCCACCGAGAAGACTACGACAGGGAAGGGACAGGGAAGCGATGGATCACCCCAACTCCTTGACCCGCAGGTTGGGCGCCTCCCCTCCCTGCCCCGGCCGGAGTGTCAGTACCTTTCAGCCCCTGCCCCATGCCCAGCGCCAGGCCGTCTTTGGTCCATTGCACGATCCCGGAGTAGTTCAGCACCACGCAGGACAGGACAAGCCTCTGCCCGGCCACCACAGTCTGGTCCTCTGGCTCCTCACTGAACCGGGTCTGGACAACTGGGAAAGGAGAGAGGATGAGCGTTAGAGCCCCGGGGAGGGAGGGACCCCACACGGCACTGAGCACAGGGACCAGTTTCTCCCACCAGTAATGTTGGGGTGGGGACTGGGGAATCAGAGGGGAGAGCGCCCCCTCCTGAGCCCCCACCCCACTGCTCCCTGCAGCACAGCGCCCCCTAGCGCCGCCCTGGGGTGAGCACAGAGCCAGAGGGGAGTGCGCCCCCCCCCCCCGGAGCCCCCACCCCACTGCTCCCTGCAGCACAGCGCCCCCTAGCATCGCCCTGGGGTCAGCACAGAGCCAGAGGGGAGAGCGCCCCCTACTGAGCCCCCACCCCACTGCTCCCTGCAGCACAGCGCCCCCTAGCGCCGCCCTGGGGTCAGCACAGAGCCAGAGGGGAGCGCGCCCCCCCGAGCCCCCACGCCACTGCTCCCTGCAGCACTGCGCCCCCTAGTACCGCCCTGGGGTCAGCACAGAGCCAGAGGGGAGAGCGCCCCCCACTGAGCCCACACCCCACTGCTCCCTGCAGCACAGCGCCCCCTAGCATCGCCCTGGGGTCAGCACAGAGCCAGAGGGAAGAGCGCCCCCTCCTGAGCCCCCACCCCACTGCTCCCTGAAGCACAGGGCCCCTAGTACCGCCCTGGGGTCAGCACAGAGCCAGAGGGGAGCGCGCCCCCCCCTGAGCCCCCACCCCACTGCTCCCTGCAGCACAGCGCCCCCTAGCACTGCCCTGGGGTCAGCACAGAGCCAGAGGGGAGAGCGCCCCCTCCTGAGCCCCCACCCCACTGCTCCCTGCAGCACAGCGCCCCCTAGCGCCCCTGGAGCACTGAGGTCAGCACCGGGGTGGGAGGGCAGGAAGGAGCCTGTTGGGTGCTGAGCACTCTGGAAGCCGGGTGCCGCGTATGTGGGTGGTTTGCGCACAGCCCGCGTGAAGCTGTGTCTGGGCCGGGAGTGCCGCGGTTACACTGGATACGATTGCTGCACCACAATGTGCGGTGTGCACGGAATGGCTCAGCGGGTGTCTCGTGAAGGCAGGTGTGAACGCATGTCGAGGTTGTGTGTTCTGCCCCGGGCGTTAGGCGCCCGTGAGGGGGTGCGTACGGTGTGTGTGGTGTGTATACGTGTGTGAATGCGTGTCTGCCATGGGCATTACGAGGGTCTGGGTCATGTGTTATGCTGCGTGCAGCCTGTGAGGGTGCCGATGTGTACCTCGTTGTGTGTTCTCCTGGGTACAGTGTGTGTCTACGTGTGTGTTCTGTTGTGTACAGCCTGTGTGTGTATTAGTTGTGTGTTATGCTGTGTACTGTGTGTGTGTATGTTGTGGGCAGCCTGTGTATGAGCGTGCACCTAGGTTGCGTTATCGACATGCCAGTGAGTGTGTTATCTTGTGTAGAGCCTGTATGTCTGCGTGTACCTAGGTTGTGTGTTATGCTGTGTACAGTGCGGGCGGATGTGGACGAGTGTATTAGGCTGTGTATAGTGTGTGTGCATGTGTGTTGTGGACAGCCTGCGTGTGTGTGTGTATCTGGGTTGTGTTACGCGGTGTACGTGTGAGCGTGCGGTTTGCTCAAGCTCTGCCTGGGGCTGGCGTTCACCATCCACAACCCAGCCCCTTCCCTCTCCTCCCACGGCTGGGCCCAGCCGCCCCTGTCCACAGCCACCTTGTGGGCCCTAAACACAGCTGGGGCACCAGGTTCCCAGGCCCCCCTGGCGTCCCGCTGCCCAGCCTGGGAGATCGATAGCCGCATCTTTCCACAACAGCAGCCGGTCACGTGGCAGCGAATTCACAGCCAGCCCGGGGGCTACCGGGCATCGATAGTGGGACAGGGAGGCTCAGGGTGGGGGAGTCTCAACGTTTCCCGGCCTCCAGGCAGGGCTGGGCTGGGGGAAAGCGGCACGTGGAAGTGAATCAAGCTGGCACCAGCCAGCAAGCCGAGCCCCGCGCCAGAGGAAGAGGAGCTGGCAGGGCTCCGGCAGCTTGGCAGCCTGGCTGGAGACAGCTGCGGTTCTGAAAGGCAGCAAGGGGCCGCGCCGGGAGCGGGTGCTGTGGAGCTGGGTGGGGGGCACGGATGAAGGAGGTAGGGGGGGAAGCTGCAGTTTCTTTGCTGCTTCTCTCTGATTATTGTCTGTGGCATCCTAGGACGTGGCGGGCCCCAGGCACGGAGCAGGACTCCCGGCGCTCGTGCTGTATGAACACACACTTGCCTTTACAAGTGAGTCTTTACCCCGGCAGAGTCCTGGCAGCTGGCTGGGTTCTCTGCTCATATCTTAATTATTACTACTGCAGGGCCCAGGAGCTGCTGTCATGGGCGCTCGGAGCTGTACAAACACTGAAGGAGGAGCGGGTCCCTGCCCAGAGAGCGGCCTGCCCTGGGGTCTAGTGGTTAGAGCTGGGAGCAGGGGAGGAAGCTAGATGTCTGGATGCCTGGGTTCTCTTTCAGGACCTGGGAAGGAGTGTGGTGTAGTGATTAGAGCAGGAGGCTAGGGTCTAGGACTCCTTGTTCATCCCCTTTGAGAAAGAGCAACCCAGCAGCTGGTTAACCCCTCACTGCCCCACGCCAGCTTTGGCGAGGGGGGAGAGAAGCTGCAGATGAAGGTGAAGCCAAGTCCCTGCTGCTGCCTTTCCCTAGCAGAGGGGCTGATCCAAGGCACTGCACAGTGACGGGGGCGGGGGCGGGGGGGTCTCTAGGAAGTAGTTCCTAGGCAAAGCCCTCCCTCCCCCACAAAGCAGTCCCCCATGGGAGGGTGGGCTCTGAAAGCTTTGCAGACACTCCAGCCCTTGGGCACCAGGTGGGGAGGCGGCGAAAAAGGCAGCGTTCAGCGTCCAGGACAGTGAGAGCCCGGGAGGAAACTGGGGCCTGCCAGCCTTGGGTCAGGCCAGTAGCGAGCACCAGAGAGGGAAGGAGCTGATGCCCCTCAGTCCCGACCCGCAGACCCCCACCCGCTATTCCAGCCCTGAGTCCCCCCACAACAGCTCTCTCAATGCCCCTCAATCCCATCCACAGCTCCCCCACTCCCTCCCCAGCTCTGCCAATGCCCCTCAATCCCATCCACAGCTCCCCCACTCCCTTCCCAGCTCTGCCAATGTCCCTCAATCCCATCCACAGCTCCCCCACTCCCTTCCCAGCTCTGCCAATGCCCCTCAATCCCATCCACAGCTCCCCCACTCCCTCCCCAGCTCTGCCAATGCCCCTCAATCCCATCCACAGCTCCCCCACTCCCTTCCCAGCTCTGCCAATGCCCCTCAATCCCATCCACAGCTCCCCCACTCCCTTCCCAGCTCTGCCAATGCCCCTCAATCCCATCCACAGCTCCCCCACTCCCTCCCCAGCTCTCTCAATGCCCCTCAATCCCATCCATAGCTCCCCCACTCCCTCCCCAGCTCTGCCAATGCCCCTCAATCCCATCCACAGCTCCCCCACTCCCTCCCCAGCTCTGCCAATGCCCCTCAATCCCATCCACAGCTCCCCCACTCCCTCCCCAGCTCTGCCAATGCCCCTCAATCCCATCCACAGCTCCCCCACTCCCTCCCCAGCTCTGCCAATGCCCCTCAATCCCAATCCACAGTCTCTCTCACTCCCACCCCCGGCTAGCCCAGCCCTGGGCTCCCCACCCCCAGCTCCGTCAGAGCCCCTCAAACCGAGCCTGAGCTGTCCTGTAACTGCGCCAACTCGTAGCCCTGGTTTACGCTACAGAGCTCGACTGAGACAAAGCCGCTTCCGTCGACCCATCTCAGAAAGCGTCTACACTGCAATGCCGCTGGCGACGACGTGACTCGCCTGCTAGGGCAACCCAGTGACTCCTGCTCCGCGAGAGGCGTGGGGCTGAGGTGGATGTAGTCAGGGATTCCGTCGCCTGCTGCTGCCTTTCAGAAGCCATCCCACAAGTGCTCCCGGTGAGGACATGCACCGCCGACACAAGGACACACACAAGCGATTGCATTACTGCGGTGGCTGTACGTCCACCTAACGTAGGTCAACTTAATTCTCCAGGGCGGACACACACCCATAGACCCTGCCCAGCTCTGCCAGCGTCTCAGGCCTGACCCCGAGCCCCTCTCTACTACAGACCTCGAATCCCCCCTGAATAGCTCGGCTAGCCAACCACAAGCCTGGCCCGCTGCATCTCCCGTGGATCCAGTCTTGGGCTCCCCCCAATCTCTGCCATTGCCCCTCCATCCTGACCTGCAGCCCCTCTGCATTCCAGCCCCCCCAGTCTTTCCTGCTGCCCCTCCATCGCCTTCTACAAGGGTCTCGTGTCAGATCTCGACTCTCTCCCCGCCACAGTGATCCCCCCTGCTCAGTTCGGGTTTTGCAGTGGATTTGTGTGTGCGCGTCAGAGATGAGGATCTCGCCGGGGTGATGCTGAGCACCGAGTTGTCCCTCATCCCGTGACCCGACGCAGACGAACTCGCGTCTGCTGCGAGCTGGGGACCAGCGTGTCACTCCCCAGGGCCATTTCCAAACAAAGCCTAAATTGCACTGTATAAGTAAAAATATATCTGTTGCATCCTGAATTCCCTCCAGCCGTCAATTCCCCCTGAGCCTTGGAGGGAGACGTATTTACCAACAGGACGAGCTGCCTCTCCTCCTTCAGTGCAAGGAAGATGTGTCCAGAGACAGGATTTTTGCTGCTACTCACTGACGGAGCAGCCGGACAGGACCAGGCCTGAGGTCCATGGAGCCCAGGAGCCTGTCTGTGACACCGGCTGCTTCCAGCTGCTGCAGAGGAAGGTGGAAGAAACTCTGCGGTAGCAGATATGGGATAATCCGCCCCTCCACACTGGGTCTCATCCTAATCCCTAATAGTCAGGGATTCGTTAAGCAAGAGGCTCGATATCCCTGCCAAAACATCTCTCAGAGTTCACAGTTATGACTCTGAATATTCTTGTTGGCCATACAAATGTCCATCTGCCTTTTTTTGCACCTTGAAAAAATTCTTGGCCTCAGCCACTTCCAGTGCCAGAGAGTCCCACTGTCTAGCAGTAGTATTTAGACCGGAT